CAAACTCACACGTTGCCTTCGGGCCAACGGATGTGAGGGATGGAATCGTGGAATCGGGGAATTGTGGAATCATTTCGGTTGGAAAAGAGCGCTGAGATCAAGTCCAATCATTCCCACACCCGGTGTCCTTCTCCAGAGCTCCAGGGAAAAGAGGAGACACCGGAATCCCGTCATGCGGCTCCTCCAGACGAGGGAGGAGAAGCTCTGAGGGGAAAATTCCAAGTAAATTGGGAAATGGGAGGAATTTCTGGCAAAGAACAGCTGGAGAAGTAGGGATTTGAGAGCCAAACTCACATGTTGCCTTCGGGCCAACGGATGTGAGGGATGGAATCGTGGAATCAGGGAATTGTGGAATCATTTCGGTTGGAAAAAAGCTCTGAGATCAAGTCCAATCATTCCCACACCCGGTGTCCTTCTCCAGAGCTCCAGGGAAAAGAGGAGACACCGGAATCCCATCACGCGGCTCCTCCAGATGAGGGAGGAGAAGCTCTGAGGGGAAAATTCCATGTAAATTGGGAAATGGGAGGAATTTCTGGCCAAGAACAGCTGGAGAAGGAGGGATTTGAGAGCCAAACCCACATGTTGCCTTTGGGCCAATGGATGTGAGGGATGGAATCGTGGAATCAGGGAATTGTGGAATCATTTCGGTTGGAAAAGAGCTCTGAGATCAAGTCCAATCATTCCCACACCCGGTGTCCTTCTCCAGAGCTCCAGGGAAAAGAGGAGACACCGGAATCCCATCATGCGGCTCCTCCAGACAAGGGGGAGAAGCTCTGAGGGGAAAATTCCAAGTAAATTGGGAAATGGGAGGAATTTCTGGCAAAGAACAGCTGGAGAAGGAGGGATTTGAGAGCCAAACTCAGGTGTTGCTTTCTGACCAACGGATGTGAGGGATGGAATTGTGGAATCGGGGAATTGTGGAATCATTTCGATTGGAAAAGAGCTCTGAGATCAAGTCCAATCATTCCCACACCCAGTGTCCTTCTCCAGAGCTCCAGGTAAAAGAGGAGACACCGGAATCCCGTCATGCGGCTCCTCCAGATGAGGGAGAGAAGCTCTGAGGGGAAAATTCCAAGTAAATTGGGAAATGGGAGGAATTTCTGGCAAAGAACAGCTGGAGAAGGAGGGATTTGAGAGCCAAACTCAGGTGTTGCTTTCTGACCCACGGATGTGAGGGATGGAATCATGGAATCAGGGAATTGTGGAATCATTTCTGTTGGAAAAAAGCTCTGAGATCAAGTCCAATCATTCCCACACCCAGTGTCCTTCTCCAGAGCTCCAGGTAAAAGAGGAGACACCGGAATCCCGTCATGCGGCTCCTCCAGATGAGGGAGAGAAGCTCTGAGGGGAAAATTC